CCTCACTCTCCAACCCCAGGCTTCGGCGTCTGGGAGGAGGATTAACGCTCTCTGGGCCCAAGCCTGCCCCAGGGCAGGAAAGCGCTGAGTCATTCCAGAGGGGTGCGCTGGGGCGTGGCGGGGCTCAGAGAGATCTCCCCCCGCCCCGTCCTCCTCCCGCACCCCGGGCCGGCTCCGATTCTCGCGAGAGCCCGGCTGGCTATAAAGACAGGGTCCCGCGCAGGTTTCGCGAATCTTCTTCCTGGCTGCTGTGGGCGTTTTTGGTCGTCGACGACTTTTTTGTCGGAACTGGTGAGTTTGTGGGCATCGCAGCTACATTAGGGCGAGGCAATGCGCCTCGTATCCCGCCTGTTGCCTTCTCCTCCTCCAGCCCCTCCGGCTCTCAGATGAGGATGGCGTGGCGCATGAAGCGGTCAGGCAAGGCCTGGCGTGCGCTAGTATTCGAGCGGTCCGGAACGCCCACGTGTTCGCTCCAGTAGGTGCGGGTGCCTGATTGACCTCTAGGCCACGGTCGACTGGAGTCTCTTCTCCCGGCAACCTGAGTACAGGCCGTTGATTGGCTGGCCGGGGCGGCGGGCGGGCTGGTGGGGCTGGTGGGATCTCGTCGCCTGAGCCTTTGGCCGGTCTGGGCGGGTTCAGAAAACTTCTTGAATAGATGTGCTTCCTGTCCTGTGGCTAAAGAAGGTCGCTTGTCTTTCGAGTGATGGGGTAAAGGCAGTTCCCGGCCCTAAGCCTTGTGTAGCCGCGGAGCTTCGGTACTGAGATTCCTTTTCCGGTCTTTATTTTACTTTATTTTTTGAGACGGAGTCTGTCTTTGTCACCCTCGGTAGAGTGTCGTGGCTTCACAGCACACAGCAATCTCCAACTCTTGGGCTCGCTCGATTCTGTTGCCTCAGCCTCCCCACTAGCTGAGACTACAGGCGCCCGCCATAATGCCCGGTTCGGGCTGGTCTCGGTCTAGTGAGCTCAGGGCAGTCCACCCGCCTGGGCCTCCCAAAGTGCAAGGATTACAGGCGTGAGCCACCTCGCTCAGCCTCCTTTTCTGTTATTATTTCCTGGTTCGTGGAAAAGGGTTTCTGACTATCCCAAATGCTCTTGCTGAGAGGACTGCGCACTATTTTTGTCGGTTCTTTTTTTTTTTTCTTGAGACAGTCTTAGTATGTTGCCCGCGGTAGAGTGTGGTGGCGTCACAGCTCACAGCAACCTCAAACTCCTGGGCTTAAGCCAGCGGTTCTCAACCTGTGGGTCGCGACCCCTTTGGGGGTCGAACGACCCTTTCACAGGGGTCGCCTAAATACATCCTGCATATCAGATATTTACATTATGATTCATAACAGTCAAATTATAGTTATGAAGTAGCAACGAAAATACTTTTGTGGTTGGGGGTCACCACAACATGAGGAACTGTATTAAAGGGTCTCGAGCGGCATTAGGAAGGTTGAGAACCACTGTCTTATTTTTTTTGCAGTTTTTGGCGGGGGCTGGGTTTGAACCCGCCACCGCCACCTCCGGTATATGGGGTCAGCTCCCTACTCCTTGAGCCACAGGCGCTGCCCTGAGAATCTCTGTATTAAGCGATTCTGTTTCCTTAGCTCCCCAAGCAGCTGGGACTACAGGGGCCCGCCACAACACCCAGCTATCTTTTGTTGCAGTTGTCAATGTTGTTTGGCAGGCTAGGGCCGGGTTCAAACCTGCTACCTTCGGTGTACATGGCTGGCCCGGTGACCACTGAGCTACTGGCCCCGAGCCTTTGTCGGTTCTTTTCAAAGTACTAGGGCCGGGGTGAAGGTGGCCCTAGCTCTCTTTGACCAAGTCTCTCTTCTAACCCCGGGCAACCTGAGCATAGGCAGTTGATTGGCTTTCGGAGTCGGGGGTGGAGCAATCCTTAGCTCTCCTAGACTAAGCCTCCTGCTAGGCTGTGAGAAGCTCAAAAAGCTTCTTGAGTGGCCCTGCATCATTAGTTGTGGCAGTAGAAGGCTGCCTGTCCATCGTATGATTGGGCTAAATACTGTTCTGGGTTCTGAGCCTACACTAGCCTCAGGCACTAAAATTCCCTTTCCTATATTTTTGTCCCAGTGCGTGTGAATGGGGTTTCTGATGATCTAAAACGCCCTTAGCCAAAGATTACATATAATTCTTTCTGCTACTATCACTTCCTAGGTGCTTTACCCTGGATTGGTTGGGCCTTGGGGAAGTGGGAGTTTAGGGTCACACTCTATAGTTGGCCACCAACTTTCTTTTTGTTAAAGGTATTAAAGATTTTCTTTCTTTTTTTTTTTTAATTGAATGGTTAACTATGTACATTAATGCACTTCTGGGGTACAGTGTGGGGTTTTCACATGCAGTCTGAAATACTTCCATCAAACTGGTCAACTAAAGATTTTCTTAAAATAAAAAGTGAAGTGTGGTGATCTATACTCAGGATGCTTTTTTTTTTTGTAGAGACAGAGTCTCGCTTTATCACCCTTGGTAGAGTGCCATAGGGTCACACTGCTCACAGCAATCTCCAACTCCTGGGTTTTTATTTTATTTTATTTTATTTTTATTTTTTGCAGTTTTTGGCCAGGGCTGGGTTTGAACCCACCACCTCCAGCATATGGCGCCGGTGCCTTACTCCTTGAGCCACAATGCTGCCCCTAACTCCTGGGTTTTTAGGCGATTCTCTTGCCTCAGCCTCCCCAGTAGGTGGGACTACAGGCGCCTGCCACAACCCCCGGCTATTTTTTGTTGCAGTTTGGCTGGGGCCTGGTTCTGACCCACCACTCTTGGTATATGGGGCCTGTGCCCTATTCACTGAGCCATAGGTGCCACATTTTTTTTTTTGTTTGGCCAGAGCCAGTTTTGAACCTGCCACCCTCAGCATATGGGGCCAGCACCCTACCCACTGAGCCATAGGTGCCACTTTTTTTTTTTTTGAGACAGAGTCCAACTTTATTGCCCTTGGTAGGGTGCCATGGCCTCACAGCTCATAGTGACTCAAACTCTTGGGTTTAAGTGATTCTCTTGCCTCAGCCTCCCTAGCAGCTGGGACTACAGGCTCCCGTCACAACACCTGGCT